ATGTACTGTACCTTCAAATGAGATGGCTGACTTATTCAAAATATAAATGAGATTTTCATGTGATTCTCTCTGAAGGTATGATGTTATGAAAATTTCTTATTCATACACCAGTCTGTACAAGTATACAGATACATGTACATATACATGTATTTGTTTTTACTTTACCATGTCCACAGTGGTTGGCAACATTAATATTGAAATGCTTTTTTAATGTTCCCTTTTTTAAAATACCAAACTAGAACTATCATACAATCTTCACGCATCTGCCAAGAAATTGGGCAGCAATCTTTTGCCATGAAGTCATGTGAGTTCAATGTGATACTCATGTACATGTATACTGCTACCAGTACATGTACGCACTTGATCTTTTATACCTGTATGTTTGTATAATGTGCATATATATGCGCATGAACATGACGAAAGGGCCTGCTCAATATATTTTTTAATGCAGCTGCAACTGTGTGTTCCACTTGGTCTGTTTTCAATTTCTCTTTTGCCATTTGAAATGCCAATTTGGTGGATGTTTGCTTTTTGTGCTAAATGCAAGGTGCATGAGCAAAAGCGTGGTACTGTTTCCTGTCATAACAAGGTTATTTGTAAAGTCCCAATGACCTTGTCGCTTGTTGGCCGCCCTGAGCTAAAGTGCACCCTCACCGGTGAAAGAAAGACAGATGGTACCAAGTTTTCTACCTGGGTTCTTGCAAACGTTTGGTTTGCACGCCAAGACCATACATTCCAGACTTAATTTGTTGCGCGTATTGAGCATGCTCCACGTCAAACAGGCATAAACTTGCGCGGCTGCATGTATGCGGTGAGTGTGTACCAACTGACTGTCAATTTTATTTCAAAACATGCCCTCTTTTATTCCTGCTTGGAGCGGATAAAGGTGCTCAACTGTAGTTTAAATAGCACAGTGCTCATCCCGTTTTTTCCTCTCATTTGTAGGAAGTTATTATCTTGGAAACCATGGCTACAACAATAGTCTGATGTCCATGCACCCGATCTTCATCGCCCGCGGCCCGTCCTTCCGTCGTGGCCTTGTGGTGGAGCCATTTGAGAACGTCAATATCTACCCGCTCATTTGTCAAATATTAGGCCTCGAGCCAGCACCAAATAATGGATCGTTGGGAAACGTAAGAGCACCTTTCTGTTTTTTTAGTCAAAATTTGGATTTGTAATCATTTGGCAGTTTTGTCGGAAAAAAACTAGGTCTTTTCATTTAAAAGTTCCTTTTTTTGTGTGTGTGAAATTTTGTGCTGTAGCTCAAACAATTGTATTTTTTGTATTTGTATCTTTATACCTTATCTTTACACAAATATGGACCTCAAATACAAACCCATCCACATTTGTGTAGAGAAAAATGTTATGTTATATCATATCCAGCAGCTATGTGTAGTTACACCAAGGAATGTAGTGCTCTACAAGCCCATTTTTCACATCGTCTTAATATTTGGACAGTTAAAATGGAGTAAGCCAGCTTTGTACTTTATCCCAAAGCGTGTTGTATGATAATTCCTGGCAAAACCAGACACTTTTATCTCTCACATTAGCCTCTTGTAAAGAGTTACAGATGTAACTGTTTTACTTATCTTTGAATTTGTTTCTTGTGAAGGTTCAAGACTTACTGAGATACTCCGGGGTTGTTAAAAAATCAACCACACCAGAGACATTCACAACTGAGAGTGGATCCAATGCCAAGCCACCATCTTCAACTTTGTCCACCAGTACCATCATCGGTATGACTAAAATGTTGACATTCTGGAAAGCTTGGGGTTTCGGGCTAAGAACAGATTAACCAACAGCCACAGTTCTGTACATGATATTATGGTCAGAACTGGCTCTTGGTTGAATTTTGTAAAGCTTCATTCTTGGGAGAAAAAGAATAGCCTTGCTATATGTATGCCCAGCCCTGTTCCTCAAAACTGAAGAAAAAAAATCTAACAGATCAAACATGCTACTCCTTTATGGTCTTACACAGGTATTGCAATAGCTGGAGCCGTACTCATTGTAGCAGTCTGCCTACTGGTGGCCATGTGTGCCAGACAGAGGTCCTACCGCCAGCCGCCTCGCCAGTACACGCCCATTGCAGACACCTCGTTGGATGTTGCCGATGATGACATTGACGATTCCGGTTTCTCCTCTTACAACTACCCTAACACCAAGATCTGAATGTGTAGGGGGGAGGAAAAGCTTATTGCAGTGTAGCCCCTCCCCCTCCCATTTCTGTTTGAAGTACAGATGAACTATTTATAGAGCGGTCGATTGAACAAAGTGAGAAGTCATTACTGCAGTGGTTGCATGCTCGCAGAAGTCGTACATGTATGTGCGCACATTAAATGACCTTTAAACCAACAAGGAATTTTGACTCGTCAAGGTGTACGCATACCCGGGACATACGTGTACATGTAAGTGTAAAAGTGGTGCTGTTGCATCCTAACTATGGTATTGTCCCAACTTTGGACAAGCCCAACAATAATTGGGACCTGCCATACTACAGAGTTGGGCCCATCATCAGAGTTGCTTTAGTTGGGGCGTAACCTCACTGAATTGATGGTGTTTCGGGGGATCAGTCGATGGTCTGAAGGTCCTTTTTTATTCTAGACAAGTGTAACTCAATTTTGATTATAGAAAGAAGTGCAAGTGAAACTTTGGGGAATTCCAAGAAAGATTCCCATTACAGCAACAACGAAAACCCTCAAGTTGAGGGAATCAGACCCCTTTGAAGTGCACGTCACATGGTGAAAAAAACTGGATTTGCAGGAATGAGATCAAAACTGAAACATGTTTACTCCTAATAAGACAAGAATATAATCCCGGGCTACAGCTACAAAGTTGTATCAACCCTAACAGCTGTCAATTCTTCACCTACTGGAGGATAGAGAATTTTCCACTTTCAGACTTGTTTAGAGTGAAGCGTAGCGGTACAGACACGTGGAAAAGCTCAATTTAATTGCCGTATATCTCCAGGTTTATGTTCCACGCTGCAAATTAAATACAATTCAGTTTGGCCCAAAGGTGGAATGCATAATTAAATCATGCATTTCATTTGCTCTGGGCGAATTTGTGCGCATGTACATATACATGTAGGCTAGGGATGGTTTAAGCTGGATTTCATCACGGATTTGTTACTCCAGTGTTTTGGGGTTTTATTAGAGTAGACCTTACTCACATGGAAGCCATTTTTATCTTGTTCCTTGAAGCTGTCATACTCAGTGTAACCTGTTACATGGGACGGTGCCAGACTATTTTAAGTTCCAAACTTCATTTTCATTTTACATGTATGTGGCTTAAAACAATTTATAATAATCTTCCAAGTATTCTGAACAAAAGTGTTGTAAATGTGTATTGAACTTTTATTTTGTCACCTTTTTTTTACTCTCAGGTTCCCAAATTAAAAGTTTTACTTCACTTTTGATTTAAGATGGCTGATGCATGAATTTTGTCTATTTCTTTAAGACCACATTGAAGTTAAGTGTTCTTCAAATGCACAGACATTACATCCATGCGATTGACAGCTTCATTGTATTTCACTCATCGGAGTGAGAAATCAAAGCACTACACTGTTAGTAAATATGATCCTCCTTCTTTGCAAGTGCAATTAAGTTCCACTGTCAGTCAGACATATCTGAAAGTACTGGCCTTCCAGCTTTGGATATCATAATTTGGCCATTTTTTATAAGAAATTTGACATTAACACCTGCTACTGACAGTAAGTGCTTTGCTTGTTGCAGTTATGTATAGAAATAGAATTTATGCTATCACCAGAGTACATTATATGTTTGAAATATTTATTTGCAAAACCTGTGTACTAGTTCAGGAAATGTATCTCCTGTGCCAACTTTTTTTTTTCCTCAAATTGTTCACCCCTTGTGCCAAGTTCATTTCTGAACAGTGCTGTTATGTTAGTACATCAGTGTGTGTCGGCTTGGACATTAAGTAATGCCACGTGGTAACCCCCATTTTAGCCAAAAAAAAAAATGAAAACAAATAACAGTGCTGGCCAACGATTGGCATCAGTTGGCCAAACCCGAGTCCTTTGTGTTGAACCTCATAATGATATCTGCACTATTCAGCACGATCGTTGAGTATTTTTTAATGGGTGTGACTGGTTCTGTTCTGCGCATTTGGTGTTTATGATCAAGTACAAACGATAGTGTGGTAGCTGTCCAAAACTGTACTTGTGTGTACAATTTTGTGAGCATTTGCGTGCCGTTTGATCGTAGATTTCTGTGCATATAGATCATAACCCCAATATAAGGTGCTGTTACAGTGGGATGTATTGCATTATTAGTACTTGCACTAAATGTAATTTAGTCATTATTTGAAGGCCATGCATACAGTCATTGGCGTAGGCATGTGTTGCTCAGTGTTCTCTGGGGATTCTGAATTGTGGATCAAGACTGCCACTTCATTTGAATTGCCGATTATACACAAAAAAAATTTACCACTGACTGGAGCTGAACACCCATGCATAGATAGTGTTCTAACTACTGAATGCATTTGCTGAACGAGAAGGGGTTTTTGTGGGCCAATGTGATTAATTCTATCAATTCTAGAACAGATTCAAAAGATTTTGTTGACTTTCTTGGCAATTTATATAAATTTGGCATTTTTCAAAAACTGATCTAATAAAATTTTCTTCAGGCATTTAGCGTGCACATTCATTTCTATCAATACTGTACCATTTAGAAACACTTTATTGTGTATTGTACATGTATTTAAACGTGTTTATCGTGAACTACAATGTATAAAAACAATTGAAATACGTATCGTTGAATGAAATTTGCAGAGAATTCTATTTAGGTGACATTGTTAAAGTACAGGTACCAAAGTTAATACCATGTAATTTATAAACAGATTAAAATATCTATGGAAAATGTACAGTAATTTGTACTAGGACAAGGTATGTACTAAAGTTAGGGAGCGTTTCATAAGTGTTGAAGGCGGTATTTACTGCGGTACCGCTGTTTTTTTAGTGGTACTGCACTAGTTACCTGAAAGGGCTTAATGCTGGTACCGCAAAAATACAGCGGTACCGCAGTAAATACCGCCTTCTGTAATTATGAAACGTTCCCTTATTGTGCTACTTGTCAGCTGAATTTAACTGCCGATTCAGAATTTTCCTCTTGGTGCAATCGTTGGGGAGTACTGTACATGTATATTGGAGGTCAGTCTTTCTTATAGGACAAATTGCATGCATGTGGGCATGTACATGTTAAAGGAGGCTTCTGTAGTTAGACTACTTCATAATACAGTACGTAATCGTGCCTTACATGTATGTGTGTACTGATGAATAAACAAAGGACTCGGTTCAACATTGAATTGAACATGATACTTTGCTGTCATGTCATTGCTGGCTTTAACTGAATTGGGGCATTTTCACCTTGGGTCATGTAGCTGGCATGTTATTAATATCCAGATACACAGAATTGCGAGCTTTTCCCCCCAAGACCACACTGTATCTTGATTTTTACAACTTGTTTCCGAACGTTTTTTTTTACAAACTTGTTTTCTATAATAACTCAATATCCACACACAACTACACCAATGCACACCTTGAAAATTGTGCTTCTTACATATGTTTATTTGCAAGTACATATATATATATTGCACATTTATTATAATTTACATGCTTCACTGATGAGCCAGTATGTCCTACACTAATCACTCAGCTAATAGATACAACAGGGTTTGCCAGTTCCTGTCTATCAGTCTCCATCAGCTTCCAGCTTTGGTTCCACAATTAATCAACCTCTGACTCGAGACTCTTGTACTCAGTTAAGCTCTATTTTAAGAAAGGAAGTTCTACACTCTGAAAACAATGCCAGGAGTATTTTAATTTGATTCAAAATACATATTGAATTCAATGCGAAGGCAGAAATTGAGTCAAAGCCGAGAGACTCGGGATGCCCAATTACTGAAAACACACAGCAAACAATGGATTAAGAGTTTATCGGAAGTCCCCTGTAATGAATGTGAGAGTTGTGTGCACGGGCCACTTCCACTTTGTTTCATATAAAATAAGGCGGGGTTGCCAGTGACAATGTCATTGTACGTGTACTGTGAGTGACTGGCAAACAAAATGGACTAAAGAGCACGAGATGCATTCTGCCAAACCTGATAAGGGTTCCCTCCAAGACTGGGAGCATATTTACCGAACAGTGACAGTATATTCCAACAGGCACTGACTGCAAAGCTCCAATAGTATTCAGTTTTTGACCAATTGCCTGTCAAATCTTCACAGCAGACGGGGTGCTTCAGCAGAGACCGTTGTCGAAGAATACCTGAGACGTGCTTTTAGACCAGGTTTTCACAAACTGTCCAGCAATTAGTACCGGTATGTTCTGTATGAACTTGAAGTTCATGGGAATGGCTGAATAAGGGGCTTAATATTTGACGTCAGGGGAAAAAAAGGAAAAGGCTCCCTACGGACCCCTAAAAGCTTAATGACTACGGTGCAGAATGCCGACAATAGACACAAAATCTAAAATTCTGGTGAAACAGAAAATTATCATGCCTGTAATACAGATCTGTTGATTGTTCAGACTTCATCCCATGATGAATTTTAAATGATACCCACTGGTGATGATCTACAGTGGGAGCTCTGTCACACGTCAAGATCCTCTTGGTCATTTTTACAAATTGTGCACGTGGGATCGCATTAAAAACTAATTTTTTTTTTCACTAACATCTCACTAAAGATTCTTCTTCACAAAAGATTTCATCACCTGGTGGGATAATTTTAGATGTTTGCAATGCCTTTTACAATGCCTCACACTGAGTAGATTAATTAAATATTCAGTCTGTCAGAAATAGAAAATGACTACAGCTCCAGACATTCTTTCCAATATTAATAATACACATTTTAACGTTTAAGTAATGAACACATCTACGAATACATCTTTTATGACAGTATCTCTGACTTCTGGACATTATATACATTTCTTTCCATCAGCAAGAACTCCATCAGAATATACATAAGCAAAAATCTCAAGTACATGTATATGTCAATAAACTAAATGCATTTCTGAAAGTCACTTTTTAATACATGTATAGTCGGTGGTCACAAATGACGTTTCTTAATTTCTTTCTCTGAAAATCCAGACATTTCTCATATCAATTAAAGAACAAAAGACCCACAACAACCTTGGCATGGCATACATCACAAAAAAATAATTACTCATGCAAACAATTTTTCATGAGAAAATTTTACCCATGCAAAAATATATAAATCTTTATCCTTCATATTTATTCATCCACCGCAATCATGACACACTATGTAGTTATTTATAAAATGATATAGCTTGGAGGATGTTGCCCTTCACGGTTTGTATTTCAATGCAAAGAAATACTGCTGTGAACAGCCACGTTTCATACTGTCTACTATCAATACATCAAAAAAACCCACAGGCTCATACTCTGAAGTAAAAGACACCAAGACTATCTACACTACATACTTTCAACAAAAGTGGATTTCAAACTTCTCTCGACCGTCAAAGATACAAATTCACTTGGCAGGGCAAAGAGGCGAATATTGCAAGCCCACTTCTATTACTATCATTGCATGAATGTACAGGTACCAAAGTGTTGCAGTGAAACTACAGTATTTCAAGCATACATGCCCATCTGAAAATAAATATGATAAAAGGTGGCATTCTAACACCATAAATGCACGAGCATGTACATGAACATTTAGAACAAAGCTACACTGCACATGTACCTCTTGAAATAACAGCGATGTAATAAGTGTATCCTAAGAAAAATGTTGAAATGGCAAACCACGCCTATGTGTTTCCTTCTACTGACCAATCTGAAAAAATAGCGGCTCAGTTGTTTGCTGCTTCTTCCTGAGAAATTTCCTTCAGTGATTGCTTTTCAAATATTGCAATTAGGCTAATCTCATTGCTGTTTGTAAAAAGTTCAAACAGAACTGGGAAGCAATGTGTGTTATCGATATAATCTAAGCTGGAGTAAGCTTAACATCAATGCTTGGATGGGCGTCTCTCAACTTCACCCAAGAGTGCTTTGACACACCGATTCTTGCCATTTTGAAAATATCTGACTCAACTGTTCTGAGGCATTTTCTTTTCATCCCAAGTCATTTTTGTCCCATACAAGCTGCCATTGTTCTTCCCCACAATATTTTCCAAGCCAAGTCCTTTCAGGCTTGGCTGTGGGCATCCTTGCTCCCAGTTGGCTGTCTCCCACAGCAGGAAGTACCACTCCAGTCGCTCGTGACCCTTGACCCGGGAGGGCGAGTTGACGTATCCACCAATGAGGTCATTGAACCCCCGGCCAACTGTCACTACCACGGCCGCACCTCCCTCCTGCCCTTCCACTTCTGCTTCGGCCGCCGCCTCGTCCGCCTGCATCTCCGAGGGCGTCCAGGGCTCTGTCGCAACGGGGACGATGGTGCGGACGGGACCCTCATGGCAGTTGATGACACAGAGGGGTTTTAGGGAGTGGGGATCAGCCACCAGGAGGTTCCCAGAGGACACGCCAACATAAAGGTACTGGCGGAAGACAGCTAATGATGAGACCTGATTTCTCATGGCTGTCATTCCAAGAGAGAGAGAGGTAAGAATGTGGTGAGTTAATTATGGAAAGAGAGCACTAGGATTGATTTTTTCAAGGATTGATTTTTTCCTGAGCCAACTAACACTCCATCACAGCCTGCGATCAAGTTTTTTCTGACGAGTAAAAACCATGCACATTTATTAGTTTTCCTTGAATACTTCTTCAAACTTCAAATTCCTTCAACCACTTCGTGCTGGGGTGCCCAGGCCTGGCTGAAATACTCGGGCGTCAATAGATGCTGTCTGTCAGATTAGAGTAGCCACCAGACAGTCATTTGTGTGGGTGTAAATGTCCAGTAAATGATGTTATGAATTTTAGAAGAATATTAAAAATGGAAAATCTTGAAAATCCCCAGGAATGCAACTTCCAATTAAACCCGGCAGTAGATGGTCAAACACTCAAATACACTTGCATAGGATGTGCAAACTAGATGTTAACATTTGCTCATGAAGACCATGTAAACTATTAGAAATTTTTGGTGAATGAGAAAAGTCAAACAGAAAAGTAATTTGACCTTGTACACCAGTAACATCAAAATTTTCTTTTGAAAGAAAGACAAAAACAATCTGGCGATAATCTTCAACAGATCCTGCTCCTAAATATCTCTCACCCCAACCTCCCATCTCTGGCCAAGGTACCCCAAAGATTCTCCCCCTACCGCTCATTGGTCTAACGTTCCTGCGGCTCCGCGGCTTGGAGTTGGACCTGCAGGTGGCCAGGGCTGTGATGACATCCAGCGTCCCTTCAATCTTTTTGGACTTCACGTTCCACTTGTAGATGAAGGGGCCTGAAGATGAAAGCAAAATTAATGGCCGAACACTTCCTGGGAGAATGTCTATTATTCCATTCAAGCCATCTTAGTTTTTCTTTCTCTTTGCTTTAATAAAGAAAAATTGAGGGGGGGGGGAGACGGATGAAATCCCAGAATCAAACAATCCTAAAAGTTGAACTATAAAAGCCTGATCATTTCTTCTCAGCTGGGTTAACAGTCCACTTTGACAGACTTTTGTCAGACGCAATTATATGGTTCCTTTCTTTAACCTCACCTGGTTGTACCCAGGACCAGACATGGTGCAGGCCCATCTCCTCCATGAGGTCAAGGTCATAGGTAACCAGGCGTGACACTTTGCCCACGCAGTCCAGAGCTTGCTGATGGTTCAGATCTGTCTTGGCAATGGACAGGTCGCTGGCATTGACGATGTTGATGTGACCCTCTGACTGGCCACACCAGATCTCAAAAGATTTGCTAAAGAATGAAAATGGGCAAATTGCTTGTCTTTAGAATGTTGCAGCGAGAACTCCATCAGTGTGTGGGTATACCGCTCTTGTATTGCATTTGTATAACACAGTATACATTTGCTGACACACCAACGAAACCAATCAATGCTGGACAGTTTTGAGCACAACCACCCCCTTCATTGGTTGAAAGAGCCATGTTGGTAGGTAGTGTTATTTTGTTAGTAGCAAAACGACCTTAATGCATACATTTCATAGTTGTTTGTGAGCTCGGTGAATAACACCCACACCAAAGGAGCCTCCATTGCAAGGAAAACTGCACCCTCTCTCCGTCCCGCTCAACGTGGACAGATGGTGTAACAAGCAGCATGCTTTGGAATAGAACAGGGACTAATGGGTGAACATTACAAGCTTTAGGCAAATGTTGGTATCCCAACTTTGTTTTTCAAACAAACTTACAAGAACCTAGAAAAAGATGGGGTACAGCCTCATGTTGCATTCTCTTCACAAAAACACATGGACTAGGTATCACAGTCTCTGTGTTGAATTGACGCAACAGAGAGCATTATCTTGCACCGACTTACTCTCCCAGGTTGCCAAATGCCGGCACCACTGCCAGCGTGAACACCTCCCGCCTGAACTCCACGTACTTCAGCATGACGGTCTGGTCGGGCAGCCCACGGTCCTCTGACACGACGATGATGCGGTGGTCAGTGGCCACCATTACCTCCCCCAGGGCGCTCACATGCACCATGGCCTTGGGCACCTGCACTTTCCCCAAGCACAGTGGCAGGGTGAACATGGGGCACAGCTCCTGGTAGGCATTGTGGACGGCTCTGGGCAATGGCAGACAAACAAAATTGGAATCAAGGATGCTGCCCTGTGCATTTTGACATCACTGCATCTCCAGCCCTCTTAAATACGCTACAGTGTAGAGTGCTTGCCTTTATAATGCATTTACCAGTCACAACACTACAGTTAAAGGTCCAGTCCATCATTATCATTTGTGTATTATGTTCCTTTGAGGCAACAAAAATTACTCTTCAGACAGATTGTCGGAAATGGTCTTCTTTTTCTGCTTTCTTCAAAATGACATCTTACCAGAAAGAACAATCTCACAGGAAATTTAGTCCCATAACAACCTTTCAGCCAAGTTAATTAGAGTGAGCCATCACAAAATGTATAAGAACATTCAAGGAATCCCATATTCAGATCAAAAGTGAGTTCAAATTGAGTCTTTCCTCCTATCTTGTCTACAAGGAAACATGGACAGCCCACACTACATTGTAGGTATGCAATGAACACATGTGTAGGTGTGTGATGTACAATTGTGTACAAGAGCATTAGAGTCAATCATTCAACTTGTTAACTTTACTCACCCATATACAGCAATCGCTCCCGAAGTCAGGCCCAACCACATGGTGTCGACCACAGCACACATGCACTCCACGCAGCCACTGGACACGTTAAACTTGACGCAGGTGCTGCTTTCCCCGGGACTGCGGTCCACGTTGAGGACCAGCACCGAGGCCTCGTCTGGGTTGCCCAGCCCGTTCTTGTCAATGCACTGGGCCATCCACACGCAGGGCTGGACGGCGGCAAGATCGTCGCTGTCTGTCACAGGAAAAATCAGAGCGAATATCGTATGGGAAAAGATTACCTGGGATAAGGCATCATTTCAAAATTCTTATCAGGTAGGTGTCAGACAGAACTGTCTGACCGACAGTGGCGTAGCGAAGGCATTTTCTTTGGGGAGGTGTGCCAGGGTCAATTTACTGATTGGTCGATGTATATCAATAATTTATGATGTCAATTTCAGTTTCATTTGCCGACTGACCCTTTATTTGCTGACTGAAAAGAATTATGGGGGGGGCGGTGCAACATCCCCCCACACCCTCCTGTTTGCTACGCCGCTGCCAACTGATGGCTCTCAGGTGGAATGTTCTCAAGTTGCCATTTCTAACTGATAAATGCCTTTACATTGCAGTATAACTAGTACTCCAAAGGCTGTGGTTTCAGTGGAGCAACACCCCTCCATTATTCACTCAACACAAGTCACTGTTATTATTTATATCAGTCGGATGGCCCTGTCCCATAGTCAACGGGTAGGAATTTTTAAATGTTGCCTAACTTGTTTGCTTCAAGAATTTCATCTCCATTCTACCATAGTACGGTATAACAAGATGACAAATACGTAACCTACTTGTTCAAATTCCAAATTGATACTGACACAAAATATCAAGTCCAAATTTCTATCAATTCAAGTTCGTAAGATACAGACTATATTTGGGCTTGATGGAAGAATTGCTTTGAAAAAATACTTCCAAAAAACAAACATACTGTTTGAGTTGAAGTGTTGTTTCAAGACCATCACAAGACCATCCACAAGACCACCACAAGACCATTCATAAGACCACCGCAGCACCATTCACAAGACCATTCACAAGACCACCACAAGACCATTCACAGGACCACCACAAGACCATTCACAAGACCACCACAAGACCATTCACAAGACCACCACAAGACCATTCACAAGACCACCACAAGACCATTCACAAGACCACCACAAGACCATTCATAAGACCACCACAAGACCATTCACAAGACCACCACAAGACCATTCACAAGACCACCACAAGACCATTCATAAGACCACCACAACATCATTCCTAAGACCACCACAAGACAATGCACAAGACCATCCATAAGACCACCACAAGACGATTCATAAGACCACCACAAGACAATTTGCAAGACCACCATAAGACCATTCACAAGACCACCACAAGACGATTCATAAGACCACCACAATACAATTTGCAAGACCACCATAAGACCATTCATAAGACCACCACAAGAGGATTCATAAGACCTGTCACAAGAGAAATCACAAGATCAGTTACAAGTAAGAGGGTGAACAATGACACAGGAACAGCTTTGTTGCAACTCATTTGAAATAGCCTGAGACATGAATTCAGACTGGAGGTCTTATGCTGGTCTTGTGATGGTCTTAAGGGGATCTCATCTACAACAATGTCAAGGCTGAAGGGCCAGCTCGAGAATTTGCAAATGGGTCCTCAAATGCCTCACCTGAGTCTGTTATGCTACCATTCAGGAATAATGGCGGTGCGCAGGCACAGGTGACCTTTTCATTGTCCTGTGGGGACATGATCTCCCTCAGGTTTGGAAACTCGGGCATCCGGGAGATGGCATTGATCTGCTCCATGCTGGGGCGGTCGCGGGAGTCCTGAGCCCAGCACCAGGCCATCAAATCCACCATGTAAGTTGGGTACAACTTTTCCTGTTGAGAGGTGATATATACAAGGGATCAAACTCTTGTAGCTTGTTCCACGTCCGAGGACAAAAAAGTTAAAATTCATGGACTTTCGTCACTTTTTCCTCCGAGATGAAGCCAACTAAAACACTTTTAATGGTAATGTATCACTTGCAATTTAACTCAGGGCCGCCGATCATTTAGACCCGGTTTGAAAAGGGCCCCCCTGTAGCCCGCCCTGTATAATGCCTGCCCGGTATTCAGGCAACTCCAGGCCGGTATCAGGCCTGTCTGCACATCGGCATTTCAAAGTCCCTGATGGAAGGCTTTCCCCACCATGCTTCCACAGATGAATAGGGGTCTAAGGGATAGTAGAAACATTGTATAGAGCTGAAGGATTAAAACCACAAGCAGCTTCCTTCAGGGACAGATAACATGTACCAATACTTGCAAACAATAGACCCTGGGATGGAGAAGTTCGAGATCAACAACCAGTACAGCATCCCAGGCTGGTAGCCAGGCCGATATGAAAGGGGTTTTTGCAACAGGGCGAGCTTACCGGGGGGACCTTTTCAAACCGGGTTTAAATGGTCGCCGGCCCTAAGCTTTCTGGAAATATTTTGTTCTGAAAAGTTTTCAAAAATGAAAACTTATTCCCTACTGGCTATCTTCCAACTATTTTTCACAACTATGCTTGACAGGAATAGTTTAACATCTCAAATGCTCCTACAGTGAAGAAGCGCAAAATAACAAACTCATGCCTCATCTAAAAACAGGAAATGGAAAGAACACCAGTTATTTGCCAACCATAGAAGCACTGCCTACCTTCTTGGTAAGTACAGGTCGTTGGCCGTCCTTGATTAATTGCTTGATGATCTCGGACAGACGACCAAAGTCTTTGCCCACTAGGTTCTCAAATGGTCGCTGGATCGCCATTAACTCGTACATGAACATGGCAAAGGAAAAACAGTCCACCTGCATGAGCAAAGCAACAGGACTTTAGTATCAAAGAAATAGAAATAAGTTGCAGTAGGGGCATCCAAAGACCAAGTAGAAGTGATTATTTACAGACAAGAGCTAAATGATCAGTAAAAGAAACTTGTTTGGTAGAGACGCTTTGGGTGTTATTTTAATATGCATAGTGTTTCCGTGCAAAAACTGACGCCACTTTGAATAAGCTACAAGCTACTTGATTAACTTCTGATGTGAGAGGCTTGTTTGCAAGATGATCACTACACCAAAAAATCCACGTGACCACTGACACATGGCACATAGTTTACCTTCTCAGTGTATTTCTCTTTTCCATCATACTGCACAATCTCTGGTGCCATGTAGCCAGGCGTACCGCCATACCCTTTGGTACCAGATGGCATAGCTGTCACACTGATTCCATAGTCTGCCAGCTTGACCTTCACACATGAATCTGAGCTATGTGGGGCAGGTAGGCACCAGACTAGGACATTCTCGGCCTTCAAATCTCGGTAGATGATACCTTTCTGGTGAAGGTACGCTACTGCCGAAGAGACCTAAAATTAAAGATGATTTGAACACTTCAATTTAAGAATACTCTTGCCTTGCTTCCATCAACATTTTATTTTTATTTTGCTGCTCTGAATATCTGAATCTGCTATTTTAACAAAACTTACAAAACAGTCCAAATAAGGTCAGGAGAGAATTTGAAGAGAGTAGAGACTTTTGTTGGCTTGACCTTTACCTGCACAAGAATTTTCTGAAAAGTGCAAGGTGTTAATCTAGCCCCAACACGCTTGTAGTCCTCCAGCTTGGAGTCTAGGGCACCCTCCGGAGCCAGCTCCAGGATCAGGCTCATGGGCTGGCGGCAGAAGCCGATGAGTGGCACAATCTGTGGGTGCTCCAGGTTCAACATGATGCTGAGCTCCTTGCGGGCGGTGCGGAAGGCCTCGCAGGAGAAGCGCAGAGGGTCCCGGTGCCACTTGGCGTTCTCTGCCTCGTAGCGCCGCCGGTCTGTCTGGCCGGCCCCCTGGCCCGGTGGGAAGGGCTGCAGCATCTTGATGGCCACCTGCACCTTGGTGTCCAGGCTGCTCCGGGAAGTCTGGCCCTGGAAGACCAGGCCAAACGTGCCACTACCCAGGAGACGACGGACTTCCAGGGTTGCGCGGTCCACAAGCAGAGCTGGACCCAAGTCATGAAACACCTGTGTTTTTTAGAGTCAGAAATTACAGTTACGATCTACTCAACTATTCAACTGTTCAAAATTGAGACAATTTATTTCATGTGATATTTTAAAAACTCTTAGCCAAAGTTGTAGCGTAAGTCAAGGAAACTTCAATTTAACTCAGAGGCCTCCTTGTTGTAAAGAGTAAGACACTGAAAACTGACAATGAACAGTCCAGCTGGAGGAATCGAAATAGAGGCTTATACAAAATACACATGTGTACCACTTAGCGACACCTTTGACTTCTTTAACAACTCTCTTGATATAGTTTTTATTTTATTATAAGGTAACATTTACTTTAACATGCCTGTCTCAAAAATCAAAAAGTGGTAAAATCTTTAAAGTAAATAAATGGAAAGAAATCTTTGATCAACTTACCACATCTGGGGCGATGGTGCTCAGTTTGACCCGCCCGTGGATGGGGCAAGTGACTATCTCAGTTTTCATGGCCTGCATCACCAACATCTCAAACAAAAACCCATAGACTTGGACGTCCCCCATCATCTCTGAGTTCATCTCTACTGAATTGGTGAACCTCAGGTCTAGTTTCATCTGATCTGAAAACAACAAGTCTTGCGATTGGAAGTCATTTACCAATGGGGTGTCTGGCTGGCTGCAGGATTCGCTCTGATCCGAGGACTTGGACTGGCTGATGGCTGCCCTATGCTTGCGGCCGACAGGGCGGGCCCGTGGCCTCATCGAGTTGTTCCGCTCCGTGTACTCAGAGAAGTCACTGTACGGACCATGGTGATCGGTGCAAGACAGCCCGCAGCACAGGTTAGACCCTCGTTGGCTACGCTTCCGTGGCACGGGTGTTTCCGACAAAAGGCTCTGCCGCTGATCAAAGTCAAATTTGTCAACAAACTCCCACTCTTGCTCATCAAGCTCATCCACATTGAGTCTGTTGTAGTCACGCCAGCAGCGGTTGCATGGCACCAGCCTGGTGATGAACAGCTCCCCCTGGAAGGTGATGCCAAGTGGTTCACAGATGGAAGGGTAGAAGTTTTCCATCAGGGTGTCAATCAAGTCCATGATGCTGGACAGGAGGCGGGAGGCCACTTGGAGCGAGCTGGCAATCTCAATGTGCTCCCCTTCGAGAGCTTCGATGCCAGACTCCACCGCAGTCTCTGTCATTATCGGGGCACTGTCAGCCTTCTGAATGATATTGAGGGTCTGGTTAGGAATCAGGATCTCCAGCTGCCCACTGCGGGTGAGGGACACAGCCCGGTCCCCACCCGGCTCCTGGCCATCAGGGTTGACCACCTTGATGTGATCTGGCCGGCGCTCTTGTTCGAACACACTGGTGAGGATAGCCTCCTTGACTATCTCCTTCACGTGGAAGATGGTGGCACCAAAGAAGCGTAGTTCCACGCCGGTCTGCCACACAGTCCACTGATACTTTTTCTCCAGGGCATCCAAAGCTGACTGGCTCATCATGACCTTTAGACGCTCGGGCAGCGGATACAGCAGGGGCACCACTTTACAAAAGGTCTGATCCGAGAGGAAGCGGCTGATCATGTGAGACCAGAATCCGCTGGGTATGTACTGGAGGATGTACAGCCGTCGAATGGCTGCCTTCTGATTCACAATAGGAATGACTTCAGTGTTGTCCAGTTCCGTCAGTGGCTCCTCGTGCATCTGAAACGGCACTGGTGTGATGTTCTGGATTCCATTTAGGGATACCGGTAGGTCACCAGAACTAAGACTGTGGGAGTTCAGTGTAGAGGATTTGCTCCCCGGCTCTGGCAGCATGGATCCTTGGTCCATCGGCATCCCGGGGATGATCATGGAGCTCGGTGGCGAGGAGCTGCAGTTGTTGGTGCGCAGCTGGGTGGGAATCTGCTGACTGAGCGTGGGCATGGAGGAGCTCTCGGCCTTACTGAGGGTGCCCCCTGGGATCTGGAGGGCACCCAAGGGGTTACGGCGCATGGAAGATGGGGAGGGGCTGTAATTGCGAACATGGGAGGTGTTGTTTGGGGAGACACCACGAACTGCTCGCCGGTTCCAGCAGCGGTTCGGAGACGGAGAAGCAGATGAAGAGGGAGATGTTGTTTGAGGAGACTCCTGAATGATATCAAAAGAAATATTTTTCATTCAATCAATTATCTGATTCCATTTTCTCACTTTAGTTAACTAAATCCTATTCAGAACTTTAGTTCTGTTTTCTGCTAGATGTTATGCAAATCAATTTCTCTTAAACAGATGAAATAATTGTGTTTGTAAAGCTGAAACAGTGTTGTAGTCGAGACCTCTCAAGACCATCACAAGAGCCTACAAGTCCAACACAAGACCACCAGTCTGAATTCAAGTCACAAGCTGAACTAAATGAATGAACTGCAGCAAAAGCATTCCTTTGTCATTGTTCACCCTCTTGCTTGTGACGAGTCTGATGTATGGTCTTGTGCAAGGTCTTGTGCATGGTCTTGACTACAACACTGAGATGGAAGTGAACGAACCTTTTGGATGACATCTTTCTCCCGGATAAGTGGAATCATGGTCATATCCAGCCCTTCCACAGGCAGTCTAGAGGGGACCAGGATGTGCTCATTGTCGTACGTGACCGCAACCTCGCACTTATTGAGCAGATTCAAGATGAAGTCCTTGACACTGGAGTCTTGGAACTTGCGGTGGAGGTCCTTGATCAGCATCACGCCTGGAAGAAAGGAAAACAATTCACTTGGATGGACCCAACAGGCTTTTTGTTTTGATCAAAAGCATAATTACACTTGCATTCCTATTTTTTTGCCACAAAATTCAATACCAAAGGTTCAAATGAAAATTTAATTCATTTGGGATCCTTTTGTGCTCCAAAAAGCATCCACAGCTGTGCTAGACAGCCTACAGCGACCCAGATTGAAAATATGAGGAAGATTTTATGTGAGAGCAACAAAGTCTCAAGCACGGAACCATGATTCTTGAGGGTCTCCAAGCTCAAATGATAATCCAGGGCCACTGACCTTTCTTGACGTCCGGGTTTATCTCTGGGATAGTGACAATCTTGGCCAGGGTGTCACATAGCCACTGCGGGTCCAGGAAGAAATAATCACTCAGCATGGAATCCTCGTAGTGCAGGAGAATACCTGGAGATGCAACAAATGCAGTTAGGATTATGAATTACTTGTGGTAATGACTCCAAGGACTCCTCAAGAGTACCCTAGGTACAGTAGCCCACAAGCCAGAAGGTACCTGAAGAGAGGAGATAATGAGCAGCGGTAATAGTTTTGGAAGTTGAAGGAAAATCCCAGAGGAATCAGGTAGGAACTGAAAACCACTGTGGACCGAGCTGGGAATCAAACCGTAGAAGTGGACGGTGAAGACAGAAGCGCTACCCAACCGGACTCGCCCCCTCCCCCTCAAAGCTTTTGTTTTCTTACTGTAAGGAAAGGTAACAAAGTGGGTATGGGGGGCAGTGTGGAGCCAAGGAATACAAGGAAACGAAAAATCTTGTTGGTGAATTACCATTGTTGTGAAGGAATCTCGTGGCATGCATCAAGTCTTCCTTGCTATGGAAAGAAACCTGATATTGTTCCAGCATCACGCGGGTAACCTCCGTCCTGAAAAACAGTGGAAAATTCCATTCTCAACACAAGCAGCAGAAACAATTTTTTTTGAGGGGGGGGAAACAATTATGACATGCCAGAGCAAAATTAGAAATCTGTCAATTCACTTTGTGATGACAGGAATGATTTTAAGGCCATCAATTTGTGTTCTAAGTTTCAGCCGATGCAGAAATATGCTAGAAATAATGCAAACTTTAAAAACAGAATTTTACTTGAAAAAGGAATCAATGACAACAGACCTGTATTCAAGGGCATGCAAGACTGGTTCAGTGCCGGCCCTACGCATGTCAGATGATATCAGCATGACAGCCTTCTCAAGGGCAAGGTAACATGTTGGCACACGCTGCATCAGCATGGGCTCCTTGTCCCGACCCTCTGCAAAGTACAACACAAGCAGGAAAGAAACGGTTTGTCACATCACAGTGTAAAACAGAGTTCCCTTGCACAAAACTCAACTCTAAAAACTTGGAAGAGTTTCATTTTGCATGCCCAGATTTCAGAATCCAACCCTCATCGTTTACCACCTGCTCAGAATGACAGTAGGGGTAGCCCTCTCCCAGCTAAATGTATACCGTTAAATGTTTAAAATGTGAAGGCTGTATAATTTCTGAAAAATGCTTGTGAAATCTCCATTTTCAATAAAGGATCTGAAACTTGACATCTCCCAACAGAGAAAGCAATGACCCGCCAAATGCCACTTGCTCAAACTACCTGTGAGTGAAAATGCGACGTCGTAAATCCTATCCCTCAGAAATCCCAAGTTGTTGTTCCTTGGCATGGGCAGACAGGAGATCTCGATGCAGTCAATGACATTGGGCAGACCCACATCCTGGGGCTGAGCTATGTGAATGAAACGCTCCATGATCTTCCGCTTCAGGTCCGGCCAGTACTCCCGGGAATACTTGGACTTGGGTCGGTTGACCAAGTCGTAGTGGGTGCCTATCAGGAGGACAGGGGAATTGGGTGCGCGGGCCTGATGAAAGTGGGATTTGGAGAAATGTTGTCATTTAGTGGGTACATGTTAAAATAATCCAAGAAATAAAGTCGAGGATTAGCCAAATCTAGTGTGCACAAAAACATGCTAGTTGTCCATTTACATTGCTTGTTGTAAGAGACAAGTCAAAACATTTACTTTTCTTTTTTTACTGGCACAACCTTATGATTTCAAAACCAGATGAATATAATTTCTAGCAGTTACCATTTGTCAAGTTTCCGATAGGATCTTGGTTATTTGAGTCACCAATGGAGAGGGTAGGGCAAACAACACAGTGACAAATAAAAACCTCATGGTCAACCATCCAGGTATTCTGAAGTCAGTAATGTTGGCTGTTGAGTGAGCAACAACAGGCGGCCGCACTGCTTACCTGAATATTGACAAGCCACTGCTGTATCTGATTAATGCTCTTCATTCCGTCCGTAATCTTGAAGAGTACCAAGTACAAGGACCGCTTGGTCAGGAAATACTGATGAGTGGCATAGAACTCCTCCTGTAAGGGCAAGGATTGTGAGGGGGGGAAATTTAGCCAGGAATTGTACAATCAAAAAAATGTAATGATCTCCAAACAGCAAAACTGAAAATTTCAAAAACATTTGCCTAGATTGGATGTTGTTATAGTTTTTACCTGACCACCAAAGTCCCAAGTGCTGAAGGTGACTTTTCCATATTTGCTCCTCTTCTTGTTGTAGGTCCACTCACTGACGTCAACTCCGACCGTTGACAGGTACTTGCCCCGTAGTGTCTTCCCACCAATGCTGGTATTACCCTGCCTCTCGGCAAAAGTCTAGAAAAAAAATACATGCAAGTCTCAACCTCACACTGGCAAAACATTTGCAAGTGTGGATGCATCTTTTCTGTCGTATTTCAGGCATGTTTGGCGTAAGGAAACAGTGGGCAAGCCAAAGACTTATTTTTGTGACTTGGAAGTGGAAATTAACGGGTAAAAAGGGAGAGGTAATTAGCTTCTATTCTGACCTCAGGCACTGAAGATGTTGAGCCCACACCGTCCTTCCTCAGTTCATTCAAGAGGGTTGTCTTGCCAATGCAAGCCTTGCCCACAAACATCAGCTTCATCCTCGTGTATGGCTTTGCACTGAAAAAAAAATCAAACAGCAAACACTTTATGATCATGGAGAATTTACGACTCATTACAATTTGAGTCAAGATTTACTTAAAACACATAAAGATTTCTTTGCCTTTCTGCAACACAAAGTCTGGACACCACATTAATCTCACCTGTGTCAGTGAGCCCCCATTGAAGATTTGTGAATATTAAATTTCCCATTTCAGTTCCTCCAGTTTACTGGTCCCATTTCCTAACACAACTGCCATAATTTCAGTCAACACAGGAGATGTTTTGGTACACATGCTTGCTTCATTGTGCATTTGCGTACCATGTATTGTACTTGTCTTATTAAAGTGCAATGTCTATAAAGATGAACAAAGAAATTGACTGGTGCGGAATTTGAACCTGCGACCTCCGGAATACCTCACAAAGAAATTGACTGGTTCAAATCCCGCTCCAGTCAATTTCTTTGTTCATCTTTATAATCATTCATAAGCACCTAGTATGCTAGTCAGTTTCCCTGTATAATTTGTTTCATGAAAGTGCAATGTCATTTGTTTATGGTTTAGATTTGCCAGAACACACTTCCAAAAAAAAAGTTCCAAAAAAACCTCCACAGATCAAAACATGACAGAGATAGAGCCTGTCTTTCCTGACCTAATGCAGGAGAAGATACAAAAACAAACCTGGGACACACAAACAAATGTTCAAGAGGATATGAAGGCATCTAATTTTCACGTCAAAGTGAAAGCAACCAAACATGTAAACAGGTGCATTCATGAGCATGTACATGCACTTCCTACAGTTTGAAATTCAGACAGGAGGAAATGCAGGGTAGGAATTTAACTCGATATCACTATCAGCAAGCACAGGATTTGTATCAACACAAGTGGGGACAACAAACAAGTACACAGGTACCGGGTACGTGCCTAAACAATGGTATTAGTCCTGGTTGCAGAGTACAACACATACTGACTGATTTGAGTGGTATGATAAAAACCTGCCTCCTGAAGTGATCCGAACGGAACATATGAAATGCTCAAGATCATCGGGGAGGCTAATACCTTATCCACAGATTCTGCACAGTGTTAACAAAATATACAACTACAGGTACATGTATGCCTACAAATGTACATGTACCTCCTACAAACCCAAAATCAGCAGGCTTCAGTCTTTCTCAGAAAACATGATGCATCAGACCAGTAAGCCACTGCACGTTAGTAAATATTCCTTTTGCACAAAAAACTCACTCATCCAGAATGGAGCGTAGGTATCCCAGGATATCTTTAACCAGCTCCGTCTTGAACATGCTGGCCAGGGGCTCCGTCAGTCGACAGCCATCAACCTTCAAGTCATACATGTTGAGACGTCCCAGCTCTGGAGGCAGGGTTGAAATCTTCTCATTACCGTTAAGCTGAGATGAAAAAGAAGCAGGCCACATGAGGAAAAGAGTATCTTTTCATCATGAAAATTTCTCATCACTGATTAAATGATTAGAATTTGAATTTATCAAAACTTTAATTCTTAGGGCTTTTAGATAACTGTAGGCAAAACAAAAAGTATGGCAATTTTACAAATAGCTAAATACAACATTCCATCAACAAACATAAATTTACCCAAATTGACACAAACCTTTAGACTGGACAGCTTGGTGAGATACTGTATGTCTGATGGGACCTCTCCAATCATGTTGTTGGCAACAGAGAGAGCATTGAGACTTGGAAAGAGCAGAGTTACTTCCAAATCACTGCCTCTGCTCTGTACAAGCTGGAGCTGGAAGACAGAAGCTAGTACTTGTAAGTGAATAAAACACATGAAAGGCACCACATCTGGTTACTCATCTCGTTACCTTTTATTTCTTGTGGATTTGGCATCCCACCCAGGGATTTCCATCAAGTGTAAAACGGCATTGTTGGAACTGCACACAATCTAAATGGATGGACTGCACATTATGAGATCGAGTTTGTGTGCTGGAATGGTCTGAACAGAGCCCGAAATTTTCAAAGCTGGTACAAGCCAACAAAGTCTGAAAAGATCTGGTTACCTTTGAATCATCTTCACTCGAATCTCCGGGAGCTCCAGGGGTTTCTTCTTCGACTGATGCACTCGCCCCTAAAACTGTCCTGGCAATCACATCCATCTGTGTGATCTGGTTACTGGACAGGTCCAAAGTCCTCAAGGTGGCCAACACACGGTGACGTCGGTGCTTGCAGAACTGAACAAGCGGGCCTTGCGGAGTCCCTGAACCAGGTGGGCTGCTGACAAAGGAGGAGTCTCGACTCTGTCGACTTGGGGTTTGCAGGGTGCCTCGCTGCGCTAACGAGTACTGAGATGTTGGACTGTAGCACATGTCCGGCAGACCTAGAGAGGGATCATAAGCCGAACTGGAACGCAGCAGTCTGAAGACATTGGACTTGTTCCGGACCGGCAGGTGGCTGGCTGGATTGCTCATGTCCTTGATACAATTGAAAGAGAGCTCCAAATCCATTAACCCGACAGGATACTTGTTCATGGGGCCAAAGTCTGTAATCTTGTTGTGGCAAAGTACAAGTTTGGTCAGTCTAGGAGCCAGGCATGGCAGACCAACAGGGACATGAGTTAGCTTGTTGTGAGACAGGTCTAATGTTTCTAGGGCATTCATTTCATCGATGTTGGCATTTTCCTCTTCAGCACTGTCTCCGTGAATGCTTCCAGTGCTGCACAGCCGAAAGCGACGAACAGTAACTATGGAGTAGCCTTTTTCCGAATGTTCTTCATCTTCAAAGACTTCCGAGTCAGAGGTCTCTGGGGACTCACTGGGTGAGTTGTCAATGGTGTCCCTACGTGCTAAGCTCGCCTCAAGTCCAGACATACTGATAACCATGTTGGCTGAATCGCGGGGGAGGTCCTTCATCCGTAGGGCTGCCTTGCCAAATTTCAGGGCTGCCTCGGATAACCGGGCAAGCTTCCCTGATGCTGGCTTCTCAGACTGGTTTGACAGCAAAGGGAAGGTGTCTCGCTTTTGATCTGATGTCAGGTCCTCAGGTAAGGGTGAAGGGCTCCGACACTGGACCTCGCGAAAGGCTATCTGGTTGTTGTTAGATGGGCCATAAAGACCACAAGGCAGTTCCTCCAGAATATTCCTGGACAAGTTGAGCGTCTTCAGCTTAGGAGCCATCCACATTTCAAACGGTAGCTCCCTGAGGTGGTTGTTTTCCATGTTCAGATTTTCCAAGACGGGCAGCATGAAGATCTCTGGTGGCAGTGTGACCAGACGGTTGCTGGACAGGTTGATCCGTCGGAGCATTGGTGCATTCCAGGCGCTGTCCTCGATCCCGGGGAAAGTCCTGGTCATGGGACTGGTACTTCTCGGCATTCCTGGAAGATAACACATCTTATTCTTGGAAGCATTCAAGTGCTGCAAGGATGGTAGTTTGAAAATAAACAATGGCAAGTGACTGAGACTGTTGTCAGAAATGTCAATCCGTGTTATGGTAGCCACGGAAATATGAATGCTAGAGTCCTGCGGGTAGGTTCGCAACACGGTGTTGAAGCGTAAACTGGCCTCCACTAACCACTCTGGATTAATGTCATTCAGATTCTGGTCATGCCAGTCAATAGCAACAGGGGTGTCAAACATTCCAAGCGTACTGGCAGCCCTTTTGAGGCCGCCAAAAGTTCTACGCCGGTCGTATGTGCTACCTTTCCGTGAGTGGTCCTTCTTCGACTCCTGGGCAATGACCTTCGTTCGCGCAATCAAAGCTGCCTCCCTAACTGTTTTCGGTTTGGAGTGACAGTCCCCTCCCTCGGTAGTCTGAGTCAACTCTGTCACAAACAGCTTGATTTTAGTCTGGTATTCCTCTCCAATTACATAATCAGGGTCTGGATGTACCCCAGTATGGGCTAGAATTGTGGTCACCACGTCACTACGAACGCTGAGTGTTGCAGAGAGCAGGGCCTTGCCGCTCGGATCCCTCGCACCATGCTTGAGGAGCATCGCTATGATGTCCAAGTTGTATTCACTGATGCTGCACGCCTCACACAGAATGGAGTTATCCTCCTTGGGGATGTGCATCTTCTCAGTTACTCTGCCTTCTACCAGGCTGGCGTTGCTGCCCCGCGACCCAAACAGGCACTTTATGGATTTCACGGGCAGGTTAACGTCTGCCCCATGCTTCAGCAACAGCGCAACTATCTCAATGTTGCCTGCAGTGACAGCACTGTGGAGCGGCGTCCTGCCTATCACTGTATAGCAGTCAACATCGATGTAGGCCTGCTTCTTTCCCTGTCCAAAGTTTGGCACCACAGTGCCACCTGGCCGGTATTCCAGTAGGGCTCTTGCAGCCTCAACATGACCAGCAGTGCAGGCAAGGTAGAGGGCAGTCTGGCCATTAATGTTTCGCAAGTTGAGATAGAATGGTAAGTCACCTTTATAAGACTTAAAGGTACTAGTAGCTGCTGATTGATCCAGCTGGCAGAATCCCTTTAAAAATGAAGGGAACAAGGAAGAAACTCATCTAAAGAAAATATACTTGCAAATAAAATGCAAACATTTCAATGTTTCCGTGGTTTCAAGTATTAATTTTTGCCAAGAAAGAAATAAGTCATTAATATTCACACCAGACAAACAAAAGGTTAAACAACACTGAAAGTGGCCACTTTTTAGGTTTGACTACTCATAAAATATGATTAAAAACCTAAATATTTAATTATTGTCATACTGGTATGAGAAATTACTTGAAACTCAAACTCCTCAAACAAATGAAATTGAAATTGAAAAAAGTCTATTTTTATATTAAATGAACTGTACATGTACATTGAATGAAAATCAATGTGTTACCACCGTAACAGCGAGCTTCCTGTCGTGTGGAAAAATCTTGCACTTTCCATTGTTGAAATGATTTATACCATGATGGTTTGGGCAACTTAACCCATACATGTGTGATTGTGTTTGTGGAACTTTATCACATTAACAAGTCAGGTAGTCATACCCTCATCTAAATAAGGTACATGTACGTGTAGACGCTTCCCTGTGTATCATCGTCACAAGAGTAACAAGGATTTTCACAAGGTAATCAGATTACCTTGGCATTGTCCAAAACAGGCTTCCAGAGCTAAACTGTATGGCTAAGTCTATTTCCACATATTTCCAATGGTGCAAAGACCTAAACCTACATGTATACATGTAACTCTAGACAATAGTCTGATTTTAGTCAACAATTTCATGAGTACACACAGATATACACGTAACACACAGATGGGCAATGCTGAAAGACCGGGTACAAAGAGCGGCATGGTGTCGAGGTGATCATGCAAACAGCCTGGACGGTAAAGTTTGGTTCGACTTCACAAAGATTTGACATCGGATAAAGTTTCTATCAATGGGTTAATCGAACACTTCCCCCAACAGGAAAACCAGAGCGGGTTTCGCAGTGTTAGGAAGGGCAACGTACATGAATCAGGAGCTAAATTTAGCCGCAAGGTCAACTAGGATCAAGGCTCCAATAGCAACTTGGGCCGGGAATCAAAAAGTTGGGACAGCAAGACTGCAAGTAGAAAATGAAAGATCGCAAATGTACACACAAAAAAAGCATGCAGTCCAATAAAGAAATGCATCTGTCAGCACTCTCGGCAAATTTGGCCAACAAATTTAATGACACGATCTCCTTCTACATGTACCTAATACCAGCCTGTTTTTATAGCTTTAAGGAATCTTCTCACAACCTACAGGTACATGTACATGTATAGGCCTACCTGTACAATTTCAGTACCGGTACGTGTACGTGTACGTGATGTGCTGTGTCTACAATGATTTACATGTACCGGTACGGTACCGGTAGGTAGAATTTTAGGCTAATCCTGGTGAAAGACAGCAACAGGTGAAAAGGCTTGCAGTAGCACCATGCGAAGGAGACGTCTCCCGACGACGGACTGAGCACGCAATCCGAAACGTTGAGTATACTCCCAGTTCTTTTCAGAACCACACATACTCATAAGAGGTACATTCCTTCACATGGTGCTACCACAAGCCTTTCTCCAATTAACATGTACATCAACTCTACTGATTTAGCTTTTGGCTGCATGTGAACCATGTAATGTAAATGCAGCTACATGAACATGTCTATTCCACATGTACCAGTAATTTGTGCATAGCAGCAAAGCAAGCAAACAGAGCTCAGGTGTTGATGTGACCAGCAATGGCATCTCAACTACGGTACATGGTACTATTGCCACGAATAACTTGGTACACCGACGCATATGTTCTTACAGACTTGTACAAGTACATGAACACCTATTTTCTGGAAGCAAGCCAATCACAGGGACAAAAAATAGCAACCACAAACTAACATTTACACACATGTAAATGGTGTCAGGATTATGGGATTGGGTACAAGAGTATAAATAGTACCTGTACTTCTCCAGCATGTCCAGGGAGTTTATTAGGTACAGTATGTTGAGAATGTAATGTTTCACATGTGTAAAACTAGACAGTAAGTTATTGTCAGTCACAATGCCAGGCACTGGGCAGGTGTACTATTGTGTACCTGTACGAAATCTGTGCATGGTATGGAGGTCATAACAGACTGAATGTGCCCGCTAAGTCACGTGACCTATTGTGGGAATTAAATAACACACACCGCATCCACCAAAAGTAAAGTGTTTTATAGGTATCATTTACATGTACCTAAAATAAAGCGTGTGCACCACAACTTGGCTGTATTGTTTGTAAACAACACACACAATGCACATTGCTATGGGTTTGATAACCACTATGTACATGTATGTAGGTCACATGATTTAGTACACTGTACATGCAATCGGTCTGCTGATCCTCAGGCTTCTGAATCAAAGTTACTGCTGGGATGGCAGATGTGATAAATGGAAGGAATGGTGACAGACAGACATGACGTTACATCATGCTGCACATGTACACTGCAGTACAAGTTTGCGTCCTAACAGAACGAATGCACACATATGCACACAACACGGTTCCTGGTTCTCGACTGATATAAACAGTTTCAAAACTTGCGTTAAACATGCATGAGACACGTGTACAGTACATGTACATCTGATCCATGTTTAAAATAAGCATAAAGTACATGTAAATGTAAGACAAATGACTGCACAGGTGCCATAAGGGGATCTTGACAACTGAGCAATCTATGAGATTTTTCTCAACATGCTGATTGCACAATTTCTTCCATTTTACCAAACAGGAACCATGTTTGACATCGTTAATGATGCATTTTTAAGCGGTACACAAGAAGAGGCCAGCAAAATAAAAAAGAAAACACGTCTCACTTTTTCACTGACTGGAGCTTTGTAGGTAAATTCTCGCAGTAAAATGGAGAAAGGCGTACATCCCTGTCGCAACTAAATTTACAGCACAGGCTAAATTAGAACAAACCCTCTACCATCAACAAAGGTGCACAGTCAAGTACATGTACATGCGTGCTGTGCAAATGGGCCACAGTCATTTATTTTGATAATTGGGTAGAGGGGGATAACTTCGTGATTCCTGAGGAAAAGCTAAATAAAATCTAAACTCAAACCATTACAACTTTTCAGTTGTCAGACACCTGGTTTTGAGTAATTCTGTGGATTCAGGGAGCTCTGCATAGCACTGTGAGAAGAGGGGATCAGGTTGAGTCTATGGCTGTACATGTAGTTTTGTCACTGATGCACTGCAGTAAACAGCCGTAATGTAGGCAACAGTGCCCGTTTTCCACTTGGCTTTACTAACTGCCTGGGAGTTGATATCCTAATTGCCAATACGAAGAAAGTGCTATTTCAGAGCAATGTGATGGATTTTGAGAGCTCAGTCAATGGACTACAGTACGAACATGAGTCATATGCATCAAAGGTCGATGGTTCTTACTACATATTTCTATAAAACGCAACAGCAAAACTTTAACCTTTATCTTCAAATGTCATTGTTACATACTGGTATGTATGCATGTCTCAGGTGTATGAAGAATTTTTAAAACACTACTTGCAGGATATCCAATCAAACTTTGCTGTGTATAAACATTACAAATCTTGTAGTCCAAAATGTCCAGTCCTGCCTTTATCCAGTCAAACTAACAGCAACCTGATCAAACTGATTTATGATATAGTGACCCTAAATGAAAGCATGCTAAATCAAATTTGTACAATTTCTGGATTAAGTGACAAAAAGATAGTGGACCAAAGGTTCAATTCAACTGCCCTCATACTCTGAAGGGAAGAGTTACATAAATAAGTTGCTTTTACTCTGTGTCAATAACGGAGGAGGATTGGACACTTTGTACAGTTTTTCGGGGAAAAGCCAATGATAGAACAGCAGTCTTACTTTTTCATCCAACGCCGACTTGTAATCAAACTCCAGGAGCAACTTGATGACAGCTGCGTTGCCTTGCTTCGCTGCAGCATGCAGCGGAATCTCCATTTCGTTGGTCTGGTCGCTGGCCATGGCGGGAAAGTGCTGCAGTTTACATGAAGAAAATGAGTTGGTCTATTGTTTCATGAATACGTAGCACTACAGTCTGTCTACTAAAGCAAGAACCTTGAGGGATCTATCAGGAGGGAGAGGAAACCCAACATACACAAACTCATTTGCAAGAGCGCAAAATGATCTTTGGATACAAGTTTTATGAGATTTGGTCCAGATTCAGCCACTTCTGATTTTGAAGGTCTACTTGTACAGTAATGTGCACTAGTTTCTTCAATGAGCCTCCTCATACGTGTATTCATCAAGTTTCACTCCATCTGTCACTGCAGCAACCGTGTGTAAAAGGGGGAAGGCAGAACCCAAGAAGGAGAAGGAACAACACAAACATATGACGTGCAGTGCAAAGGCCATTCCAAACAGCAAATACATGTACCGTCTGCAGAAAGCTACATACATGTAGTAACTACATGTAGCATGCAGTTACATACAATATGTGAGCAGTGAAAGCTGTGGAATTTGCATTCTTCATGTCCATGCTGAAATCATTTTCCAGATACGCATGGAATAGCTAAGAAGCCACCAGCCTTGTTTTGGAAGGGCGGATCACATGTTAGATGATTCAGTTCACTTTTATAGCCTTCATTTGGTTTAACGAGCAGGCACAAGTTAGGGAGGGGCGTAATGGCCTTTTTATAGTTAGGGTGAGGGAACAATGATTCCCACTGGTTAAACATGTACTGGTACATGTATGTATACCCATGACAACAGGCTATCGGTTTTCTCCACAGAAAGCCATGTCATAGCATTCAGGACCTGAACAAGTACGGTATATGTACAGTGTAGATTCAAATTTGACAATTGTCTTTCTGGCATGCTATTTTCACTATCACATGCTGACCCAATATAGGGCAAGTACTGTAAGTGGTTTATCCGCTCCGAGCAGATACAAAAGAGGACATGTTTTTTGGGTGCTCACCGCATGGACACACCGTGAGGAACGCAAGTATATGCGCGTTTGACATGGAGCACGCCGAGTACATGTACGTATAACTAATTTATTTCCGGCATGCACAAGTATAGTCTTTGCATACAAGCAGAACACGTGCAAGAAACCGCTTGTTACCAGCTGTCTTTCTTTCGCTGATCGGGGGGGGCACCTCAGCTCGGGGCAGATAATTAACGAAGAGCTTCACATTACAATACCAGTACTTTTGGTTTGTACAATGTACATACATGTACTGCTTGTACTGTATGTTTGACAAAGCAAACATCTACCATGTCTACTGGTAATTTACAATAAATGTGGGTTGTGTAATTAAAAAACTTTGGTTTAAATGATACAATTCATTCCTAAAAAGTCAAACATTACCAGTATGTGAAGGTTTCCATTATACACGCAAGTATGCCAGATATTCAACAATTTCCCAGTGCAGATCCTCATCATTTAGAGTATATCAGAGATTCATTGGATATTGGATATCCATTCAGGCTACCCGGAAGACACCCATAAAAATTGGCCAATAAGGGAAACAATATGGTTTCAAAATTGTTTTCATGAGTTTCAGTTTCCCAGCTGTTTCCTTGGAGGAACTGCACTGGGTATTTACAGTTTTGGTTTCACAACTTTTGTGCCGTCATTAAGCGCTTTTTCTCCCATTTAGGAATGACCTAGGGCCAGGAAACACATGGAAGGCTTTGACATGTTTGATGCACATCACACAGCTCATTTAGAATGACAATCAATTGCTGCTTCCGTGTGGAAACAGCTGGTTCTTCGCATATATGAAATCTGCTACAATGCTGAAAATAGAGTGTGAGCGAAAGCTCAGGCCCCAAGCAAAAGAAAACCTTGACAAGCATGTCAGCTAATAACGTTCATGTCCAGAAAACAGTTTGTCACTTCAAAAATTTACGTGTGTGTGCATGTGTTATACAGTTCCATAAAATTGGCCCCGCTCATTGATATTATTTTATTGATTGACACTGTCGATATTTTTTAAGGGAGGCACAATAAGCCTTTTGCAAGTTAACTTTGGCCCAAATCTGGTACATCAAGTTCTTTAAATTCTCGTAAGCATAACAAGTTGAATTCTCAATACTAAAACCACTGTTGCTACATGTATACCTCGTGATTTGGGGCAAGCTTGTGCTTAGTTACATAAGAGATGCTTTGCAAAACTACACTTTTCTCAATGGATGAGAAGGGCACAAAGGAACCAGTCCATTCCAGAGATGGTGGTCGCTGTGCAAAAGTTTGCCCCTAATCACAAGGTATAGCAACAGGGTTCCTTAGTCTGGGGAATTCAACTTGTTATGTTCATGTGCAATCAGATAACTCAGTGTACCAGATTTTATTCAAATTTAACTCGCAAATGGCTTACTGTCTCACAGCATCAGTTGCCATACATGTAAGTCACATCCACATAAAAATCATTGACATCAAAGGGTTCCATCTGGCAACTTTAAATTAACAGGCAGAAGTTTACAATTTCGTGTGCCACTTACTTTTTATGCAGTGCCTTAAATAAAATGGTTTCTTTGCCAATAGCTTAACCCCTTCGTGTTGGGACGGGGCTAGACACGCCGCAAAAATTGAGATCCTCAGCCCGCTTTTCAGCTATTATTCTCAGCCCACGCTCGAGCAAACACGGTGAAAGAAGGCAGACCCTGGCTCTCGTATATACGGTAATTGGCCTTTGTGTGTAGCCCAGAAATGAAAAGACTGAATTTGCATCATAATCACCAGTTTCACAATAGTCCCGACTTTGAAAAGAGGCAACGGGAATGTGAAAGTGCGAGTAGAGCCGCATGCCACCGAACAATCAGCCTTTTCACCATGTAATTCAAAGCGTGCAGAGCACGCGGGCCACAAACCGAGAATTTCCAGTTTGGCAGGTGGCCTTCGTGGCCAAGCGAGGCTGGAATTCTTGGAGTCGGCTTTCGGAAAATCCCGTCGTCAAGGGGTTAAGATAAGAGCCAAATTTTTTTAATACACTACTCAAAAAAGTTAAGGACCAACTTTTTATTTCATGAATACTTTTTTTTATACGAGATATTTTACTGCAGGAAATGTGCATTTGATGTTTGAAACATTTAAAAAAATTTTTCTTCTCAATGAGCACACCATCTCGACAAACAAAAAAATGAAAGAACTAGACCCCACTCATTGCTTGAAAAAATTGCAAGTATAGAAAAAAAGTGGTCCTTAACTTTTTTGAGTAGTATATTTTGCCATTTGGTGATAAATGCCACTTGTAACTGGAACTGTAACACCCCTCAGATTATCAAAATAAATGACTAAACACTATAAAAGCAAACACTTTCTAGAAAGACCCTCTATCAAACAGGATAATCAAGTTTGGCCATACTTCCTATGTGCAGGTATGCCAAATTCTGCAGAAGTGCCATTTCCCTGTTTTGTACACGTATCCTGGTTTCCTAATTTCAGTTTCTCAAAGGGCAAATCTGGATTTTCCCGCAACACATACTAATCAACAAAGGCCCGCTGATGACTACATGTACCTCTACCATCCTCTTGCTCTTACCTGGAGAAGCAACTTGGCAACGTCAAAGTGGCCATTGAGGCAAGCAGCATAGAGGGGCGTCTGCTTGGTGTCTCGGTTGGGTTTACCGTTGGCATGGTGATCAAGGAGAAACTTTACAACGCTAAGATGACCACCAAGTGCTGCCCTATATGTGTAAGGGGGAAAAGGTCAATGCAATCATATTTGCAACATATTTTTACATAAACGTTTAAACCTTTATGGGTGAATACTGGTATTTTCTAAAGTTAGAGACCAAGCGAAGTGAAAATCTTTGTTACGACAATGCAAGTGCGCGAAACCCTTGGAGTTTGTGATCCAGGGGCTGTTCAAAGAGCCCAAAAACTTCAGGATTGCGGATATTCTGTGGTGCAAGCAAAGGTTTTCAGGGACACTGCTGCTTTTCAAATTCCCCAGATATTACACACTGAGACTTTCAGGTACGGCGGAGAAGTATGGTACCGTCACTGTGCATCACTGAAAATCTGCCCTTGATTCCAGTCTCACGACCCTCAGGTTCAAATCCCTTTATTAATGATTCAAGTCGGGCTTCCTCATACATGTACCTCACAACAAGCTGGAGATGATGTGTCTACAAAGTGTACTGACACTATCCCCACAGAAATGCATCATCACTGGGCAATTAGTAACTGAGGAAGGGCACCTATCAGAGCTGACCTGTACAGTGGCGTCTCTTTGTACTCCCTGTTGATGGCACTGTAACCGATCCGTCGTAGGATCTGACGCAGTTCCTTCACACTGCTGCAAGCCTCCAGAAGGCTGGGCTCCAGGCTTGAACGCAATCTCTCCCGCTCAACTGAAATATCCAACAAATCGATACAATATCGCATTTATACTATGACCATGAGAATGTATTCTTCAAGAAAAGCAAACAATGAAAATGAAAGTACTATTGTCTATATACAAAACGTGGGGGGGGGTGACTAGGCCAAGGCTTAATTAAGTCAGCAGGTTTGAAGGTGGAACAGAAAATTAAACTCTCTTCAAAAAGTTCATCAAAGTACACTCTTTTGTTTAAATATGGGGCTTTGTTAACATTGCAACATGTACAGGTCATCATTGAAAGAAAAACTAACACTACCAGTAACTGGTATGTATCCCTGTAGTTTAATACAAAGACTGGCCAAACGTGGCTTTTGATTTCAAAATGCAACAGGTAGCAGTTTTGTGTTTTATGTTGAGTGCTCTGCAAAGGCCTCAGGAACTACCCAAAGATTTGCCTGTTTTCTCTCCCAAATACGACAGGAAACATATTTTCCATCCAGTTGTTACAGAACATGTTGCAAAATTTCAGATAGATACATGTACTTGTAACACGTCCAGAGGATGGCATGTTTTCATGTGCATACATGTACATGTACGTATCTCCGTTTTGCAAAGTGGCAGACAAAATTCATGTATGAGGAACATGAAATGTGCACACGTCCTATAGTGTGTCTACATTTGTCTATGCACCAGTTAACATGTAATGCACATGTATTGTAAAGGCATGAATTACTTTCATAAAATACCTTTACATGTACATGTAGTTTCCAAGAAAAACTGGCAAACTTAAACTTTAAGGGTCAAATCACTCCCAAAATACATGTACAAGAATGGATACAATGTGTTTGCATTTCCATACACGTACATGATCACTAATTTCATAACATGTACATGGATGCAAACTAGGAAACTTCAAGTGAGTAAAAATGAATCATAGCCAATCAACACAGTGTTAAATCATAATACCAAAGTCGTCCTTCCAAGCTCTGGCAATCCCATAGTCGCCGTCCACCTCTCCTATCAGCTTGCTATCACCAGTGGTGATTCCCAATATGACACTGTTGTTATTGTTTAACTTGTCCCTACCGGTGGCCAGGGGGGTCGCACTGAACCCATAGGCACTCATATCAAAGTTTTTACGTGTGCATTAATGATACAATAATTCTTGAACAAAAGGCAAAACCGTCCAAGTTCTTGCCATGCGAGAGAGTCTTGCATCACAGCGAGGCAGTTGGCTTTATACAAAGCTGCACCCATCAAACTGACGCAGTGCTATTCTTTCCAAGGTGTGTACCACTAAATGCCAGCCAGAGTGTGGACTCGCTGATAGGAGGCCCATCCCTGCACGAGTTTGACAGGATATTCTCAGGTGCAGCTGCACTATGTCCCCTGAACTGGTACATACACGTGTATCATGCTCATCATGTTTGTCAAAGCCTAAAGTTTCTGGCCCTGCATTGATTCGAGGGTATTGTCTGACTGGCAGTTCCGAAGCAAACCCATTCCACCCGTGCCAAAGGAAATGACTGTTAGATATTTATAATAATAAATCCAGGTTCAGACTCAGTTCATGACCATGTTGGCCTCAAATCTGCGGAAAGAATCCATGACGCATTTTTGGTATCTGCTGCCATGGCACCCACAAATGACTCTTCAACTTTCCAGCAGGCTGGCAAATGAGTTGCTTACAAAGTCATCATCATGAAGTCCAGGCTGGCATGGAAATGTCTGCACAAATTGTGATTTGGCTCCAACAAAGGGACTTTGAAGAAGAGGGTTCTTGATGAATGAAGTTAAATGTACAGCAAGCAGCACAAGTAATGGTCACGTACATGTACATACCAGAACATGTAAACTGACTCTTAAAGGTGAGACACTTGTTTTCAATATCCCTTAATTACTAAAAACATCAACCAAGCTCTGGAAAGTGTATCTCCTCAACAGGTAAGTTCTCTGGAAGTCCCAATCATCAGAAGAACTTTCACATGCAGGAACTATCAGAAGAAGGGATAGAGCATCATCAAGTTCTGCTGGAGCCACTACCACAGTTCCACAGAATCTTACTGACTGGTTGCACAAGTCAGCCAGCGAATTACACATGCAGTGATGACTTCAGTGTGATTAAAGCAAAAAGTGATTGGAGTCATCGTGCACTGCTCACACAAAAGTTGGTTCACACGTGCAACGAGTGCAACTCATCAAGCTCAATAAAATAAGGAAAGACTACACCAGTCCAAATTGATTTGAACACACCAGAAGTGTTCCATGTCCTTCAGATACCGGTAGGATGGCCCAAACGGGAAGTGATGCATAAACAACGTTCTAAGACTTTAAATGCCAGATTGCAGGTGGACAGTAGTGAGAGTGAAACCTCACTTCCGGAGAGCACACAGTTTGGCCCAGTCAACTTTCCATTCTTTGGGCATTCCACAGAAAAATCGTACCCACCTGAGAGTATAAATATGGGGAGGTGACTGGTGCAATATACATGTATGTGTGTTTAGTTTGCCACATTTTGGTCTGTTTCATCATCGGTGACAAAGCAGGAAGTAATATTTTATCAACTACCGCCAGCGCTACAGAACCGTGGTGTAATGGGAAATGAAGATATCACTTCAGACAAGGTGATCTCTCCATGCAACATAAAAATGGACTTACCCACTTTGAGATGACAAAAGTACAAATACAACATATAATGTAAATCATTAGAGACCAAATTAAAGTCATAAGTTGTGTTCCTGCTTCATGTATGCAAGTACTGTACATATGTATGTACATGTACATGGGTGTTAAAAATTGAAAACAAAGTGATTTTCATGTACTGTAAGTGAATGAGGATGAGCATCTGTAATAATTTCAGTTACACATGTATAATTGAAAGGGGACATGTACATGTGTACTACGGTAACAGGGAGAAGGCTGAGAGGGTACAGATGCTAGATTTAGTTTTAGTTCTTTGGAATGCATATAATGTACATGTCCTGTTAACAACAAAACTGGACAAAAATGTACACAAATTCTGGAACCTTTCTGAGTGTTTCCAACTATTACTCACATGCAGCCGGGTGCTTTTAAAAATGCAGTGCACACATATGGGTAATTTTCAAGATTTTCAGTTTTCAAAATTCTTCAAAAATTCATCATTTCATTTAA